ATAGTAGTGCAACAAGAAAAGCAATCCTCTGAGAAAGGCGAGCTAGAGAGCAATTAGCTAGAGCAGTGGTTTTCAAACTGTGGTCCGCGGACCCCTGGGGGTCCGCATACTATGTCTAAGATTTTCAAAGGGAGGGGGGTCTGCACCTCCATTCAAAATTTTTAGGGATCCGCAAATGAAAAAAGGTTGAAAACCACTGAGCTAAAGGCTGAAATGGCTGTCAACACTGTGCTTAAGTCCCAAACGGGAACTGCATTTTTTACAGGGGCATTAGAGACAAATAATACCTTTGAGGAATCTAACTACAATTGGATTAGAAAATACTGACTTTCCATCCATTGGAAGACGAATGGCTCTCTCGTCTGAAGACGCAATAAGTACTCCACAATGGCCTGAATCTTAGCAAACAATGGCTGAATACTTCTGCCAGCTGACTAGATTGAAAATCTCTTATATTTAGCCAAGTAAGTGAACCTTGTAGATTGCTTTCCACTACTAAGCAGGATGTGTTGGACTACACTCAAAGAAGCCTTATTTACTTCATCTAGCCATTCAACAGCCATGTCACAATGCTCGGGCTGCTTGGGATCGAGTGCCAAATCCAAATGTGATGTTGTAACAACAGGTCTGGTACAGGTGGTAGAGGTTAGACCGAGGCTGTGGAGGTCCAAAAATCAGCACTGCCTCAGCCAACCCAAAGCAATGAGTATTATCCTGGCTTGGTCCTGCTTCAACTTGAGAATGACCTGATGAATGGGGGGGGGTTGAGGAAACACATACATGAGGTCCGGGCCACACTGCAGCAAGAAAGCATCAGTTATTGAGTCCAGACTGAGACCTGCCCGAAAACAAAACTGATGGCATTTCTTTTTGGGTCATATAGCAAACAGATTGAATGATGGGATAACCGCAGTTCTGAAAATGATCATCCATACTCTACTGTTGAGGAACCACTTGTGATTGCAGTAAAAGGAATCTGCTGACATGATTGGCCAAATGATTCTGAGAACCCAGTGAGTAAGTAGCCATCAGGGAGATACTTTCCCTAATGCAAAAGTACCACAGCTTCATCATCTTTTGACAGAGTTGATTGGACCAAGCCCTCCCTTGTCTGTTCACATCATACATCATGGTCCTATTGTCCATGAGAATCCAGACAGACCTTGGACATGGGGAAGGAAGGCGTGGCAGGTAGTGAAAACTGCTCAGAGCTCAAGCATGTTGATGTTCAGAGATGCCTCTCATTCTGTCCATACCTCCTGGACTTGCAAGGACTCCAAATGTGCCTCCCAATCTGACTTTGAAGCATCCATAACTATGGTCATCATTGGGGATGGGGGAAAGGGAATGCTTCTGCAAACATTATCATGATCCTGCCACCATTCCAGTGATCTCAGAACCATTGGAGGAACCCTGGCCAACTTGTCTAGCAAATGGAAGTTTGGTCAATAGACTTTAGCCAACCATGGAGAATGTGCACATGCAGCCTTCCACGTAGTAGTACGTAAGCGGATGAAGACATGTGGCCCAAGAATCTCAAACGTATCCAGACCATAGTGGTTAGGTGGAATTTAAGGGACAAAGTTGGTAAATTACTTGAAACCTCTCTTGAGAAAAAAAGGGCATTGATTTTGTAGAATTAAGTAGGACCCCAATGAACATGATTTGTGTCTGAAGTAACATGGATTTTCTCTATTTAACGAGACTCAGATGATCAAAGAGATAGGGGATGACTTGAATGTGGAGAGCTTTGGTTTCTGATTTGCCCCAAACTAACCAAACATCTGTGTAAGGGAAGATGTGAATCCCTTTCTTCCCCACATGGGCAGCCACCAATTGGTAAATACATGTAGGGCCAAGGCCATTCTGAAGAGAAGCACCCTGTACTGATAACGTTGAGTCCAAATAACAAATCTCTGGAACTTCCTGTGGCTTGGTAGCACTGCCACATGAAGATCCAAGTCATCTTCTCTGAGATCCTTCCTACCTCACGAGCAAAGCAAGACAGACGGCAGAAGATTCTGGAAGTGAACCTAACTGTGGAGGATTTTCACTTTATGGAACATTGGTCCATCTATACAGAGAGGGGGCTGTATAGTTTAGATGGCCTCCAACTCCGTAGAAGGGGAACCAATCTCCTTGGGGACAGGCTGGCTAGAACAGTCAGGAGGGCGTTAAACTAATGGCAAAAGTGGAGAGAAGATATGATCACTCAGAACAATATTGAGATGTTCAGAAGAAACTTAATCAAGGAACCAAAGGACATGAAGGGAAGAAATTCTTTAATTGCCTGAGTAACAAACAAGAGGAATTTAGGACCATAAATTCAATCTGGTGGCTATTACTGAAACCTGGTGAGATGATTCCTATGATTGAAACATTAAAATCAATGGTTAAAACCCAATTAAGAAGGATTGAATGGACAAAAGGGGTTGGGGAGTAGCATTCTACGTAAAAAATGGCATTACGTGTTTCCGGGTCACTGATAACTCAGAAGAAAATTATCTTGAATGCTTATGGATCAATGCCCTAACAGATAAAATACAAGATGGGGTACTAGTTAGTGTCTGCTACAGACCACCAAATCACACTAGGGAACAGGATGACTGCCACCTTACACACCTACCTGCAGTGTGTAGGGGAAAAAACTGAGATCATGGGGGACTTCAATCTGCATGACAGTTCTAAAACTGCCTTGGAATTTCTGAACATTACAGGTGCCAATTTCCTAACTCAGAAAGTATTGCAGCCAAAATAGGGAAATTCTTTATTAGACCTTGTCTTAACAGATAAAAATGAATTGCCCACAGAACTGAAAATTAAAGGTACTTTAGATACAAATGATCATGACTTGATCACATTTATAATGTGCAAGCAGAATAAAGTCCAGACTGTTAATATATATATTTGGTGCTTTAATAGGGCCAATTTCACAAAGCTGAAAACAATTATGAGCCAGATCAGCTGGGAGGAAGAATTTAATCAGAAGTAGTGGCACTCGTAGCATCCCATCATGGTATCAGGGAGCCATGGGATGAAGGCCTTGCTCTACCCTGGGCACTGGGAGAATGCCGGTGATGTTTGGAGTCCCCTCTTGATGTAGAGGGGACTCTTTTGGACTTGGAATGGTTCCTGTCCGTTTTTATGGGTTCTTGTTCATAGAAAATCTATACAGGAGAAGGAGAGTCTGAGTTCAAGGGCCTGTCCGAGATCATTGCTACCTCAGAGGCTGGTTGTGGGGCTGGATGCTGAAGGCCCCGGTGCCGAAGCAGATCATGCCACCTACTCCATGAGGTGCTACTTGAAGTGAGTCTCTCTAGAGAGCTGGGTTTTTTTTAAACAAAAACAAATACCGCACCTCTCTTTGATATGCCCATCACCAAGGTATAAGAGGTAGCTCAGGTGGGTATCACTGATCGGGATAGCTACCCCACACAACGAATAATGTTTGAAGCCTGGTGAAGGCACACCATTGATCTCTCTCCTAATACAATCTAAACTAATACTAACTAATGGGTACTACTGCGAAACTATAACTAACTATAAAGAACAAACTGTAAAAGCAAATATAGGAAAAAATTGCTAATTGCATAGTAACCGCAAGATAAACCTGACCGGGAGCTGCAACTCAGGCCACAGGTGGTGAGATGGAACTGAGGGGGGTTGGGGCGGCACCACCCCTAAATGGACTTGGCTGAGGCCACAAGGAGGCATAGGGCATGCGTGCTGCTACAGAAAACTCTCCAGCTCTGGTTGCGTGCACCTGAGCTGAATACATGTGTGAACAACTCAAAGAAGAACTATTACTTGCGCTCTGGCTGCTCAGTGCCTGTGGCAAAGTTGCTGCCTCAATCGGCCTCCTGACTGGCTGTGATGAGGCAGCAACTTTTGCCTCAAGTTTCCTCCACTGTCTTTTGACCTTATTCTGCCATAGGAGTATTCTGACCCTCAGGCCAGACCACTTGGTAGAACCTGGCCTCTTCCGGGGCCGGAAAGTCCTACAGTAACATATACAAAAACCAAACCTACAGCTCAACTAGGCTCAGCTGGCAGCCACCTTGTCACAGGCATGTGTCTGCTGCTTTAGACTGTCTGTGCCTTAATTGACCCCACAATACAGGGGTTGGTCCACTCCCCTCCTTATTCAGGGGCTCAGGCAGGCTCCAGCTCAGCCTCCAGGCTCACCCCCGGAGAAGCTTGTCTGGTCTCCCCTTTTTCCTTCTCAGCCTTCCTTCAGGCTGCTTCTCACAATAGAGGAGTGGAGGAGTTCCCTCTAGGATTCTTCTCCCCAGATGTCCTTTTTATTGAAACCAGCCCTGCTCTCCTCTAGCTATTTCTAATTAATCCTGGCCCACCTTTCAGGTGTTGCAGGCAGGTTAATTGACCTCTCAGGCCCATATTAACTCTTTCACATCACATTACAGAACCTTATGTGAAATGAACCGATGGCCTGCCACATGGACATATGTCCTCCTGGCCAACAAAAAGACACCCTTAAAACTGACACCTTGCTTATTAGCCATCTCTGCAGAGATGGCAAAGATGAAATGGAGACTGAAGTACACTCTCAAGCCAGAGTGGTGGGATCCCTCTAAGGGTGAGGAGTGTTAGCAGTGCAGCGTGGAGCACTGTCTGTGCTGTATCCATTCTGTGGCTAACAAAACATTTCACACTCCAGGTCTGTTAATCCAGCACCTTTCACAAGCACTAAATACCCTTTTAAAAAAAAATAAAGAGATGGTTTAAAACATAGTTATGATAATTTACTAATATGTAAACCTGAATCAAGATAGCAATTTGTTCAAAATATGCTATCATATCATAACATCAAGCCACCTTACAAGAAGCATAATCCAAAGTAATTAATGAGATATAATTAAATCAATTTATTAACCAACTACCATATCCAATGGTTGATCCTCACAAAAGTACTTGAGTAAATGCATTGGATCATACAAGATTTAGATCTCAGAGCTATTACTTCTGGAAAGTGTACTTACCCAAGCAAGAGTTCAGGTGAACGGTACCACCTGGTGGCCACATATTCTGTATAGTTTGCATTGCTTCCTTCTGATAGATTCCGAGCAAAGCCTGCAAAAAAGATAATACAAAAGATTATGTCTCCACCTAAATGAAGATTTACATACTACTATTGATTATTGTATTAAAGGTCAAATCAATTTTTCGTATCATCTGATTTAAAATGAATGCCTTAAATAAGTATTAAGTATAACTGATTAGTATTACATATTTCATTGTTACCCTATTGTTTCTTAAATATATGCATATGTTCATGCATTGGTGAAAATGTGTGTTTCTGCTTCACTAACAAGTTCAACTGGCGTCTGTCCCACAGAGGTCTATGCTTTTGGGTCTTCACCAGCATGGAACATTGTTGAATTGTTTAAACGGCCTCTGAGGAGGTTGCACTAGCTATATTCAAATTTAGGTACTAAGTCTTATTGTGAAATCCCATATGCAGCAGGAAAAGATATGTATCTGTAGAAGAAAGTTAGCGCTCTAACATACTCCATGAGTAGTGGGCTCACCAATAAGTGCTGCTTCTAGACACACAGATTACAAATATGGTAAGGAAGGTCTTCTGTCTTTGACTGGCCAAACGACTCCATCTACTCCTTTCACATGAGAACCTAGCCACACAGATTCATGCATTGGTCACCTTCATGTTAGACTACTACAACTTACTGGGTTGAATATAACTACCACCCAAAAACTACAACCCATCAAAGGCCAGAACAAAGGCCTGCAGCAGCCATCAAAGACCAGGACAAACACTTCATACGATGCTCAGCACACAACACTGGCTTCCTATCTGTAGCTTTGTCTACACTAGACATTTACTATGTATTAATTTGCATGTATTATCTAACATCACACCTTTAAATTCAAGTCTAAAGAAAGAAGGACAATATGTGCTTGAAACCTATATGGTTACAAAGTGCAATAAAAGCGTGCTTACTGGAATTGGTTGTATTAAGTAATGGCTTAATCTAGTCCAGGGGTAATCAATTTTTTTGGTCAAGGTCAAAATTTCTTGGCCAAGACATAGTCAAGATCCAGACTCCAGAGACAGTACTAAAAACAAACAAACAACAACAATAAAGATAATAATAAGTAAATAAAAAGATGTTGGGTCTGTTCAAAAGCATCTGGTGGTCCAGATTTGGCTTCCAGTCTGTCTATTGACTATGCCGATCCTAGTCTAATATTGTCTCTTTGTAGTAAAACTGAGTGAAGCTACTGTAACTAATTCCAAATTAAGCAAAATCAAATAAGCTTTCCTTTGTGATTTCAGTTCAACCAAACCTGAAATACAAAGCAAAATTCCAAGCATGTTATCCTATATAAATAAAAAAAAAAATAAAAAAAAAAAGAAGAGTTAGCATGAAAGGGATTAGGTACTGTAGGTGCATTATGGTATGGCTTTCTTTTCTACTTAATGTAGGTAAAGTCTGGCCACTACTTATGGGAAATAAAATCACTGTGCTTACAGACTATATGAAGTAGCATAATTGCTTGAGACAAGCCAGGCTTCATCATTATCAGTCTCTTAGTGGCAAAGCTATCAACCAAAATATGAACAGATTTGCTTGGATTTTCATTTCCCTACAAAACTGTTCCATCCTTTCAGGTCTATGAATTCCTTTCTGGTGTAAAATAAATTGAGCTTAATTGAGACACTTCAATTTTGACTGAAGATTTCTGGGCTCATCATTTGTTGGAACGTGTAGTGTCTGTTGCCTATCCAGTCTTGGCTCACGCTAGCCGCTGCTCCAATTTCCCCTCTCAGTAATTCACAAAGGCTTTCATGTGTGCAATAACACCTCTAGAGATCTGGTTTACTCACAAAATTCAAATGGGAAAACAAAACTCCCTAAAACTCCCTGGCTTTTCCTTCAGCCAAATGTTCCTACACTTCAGCCTTGCTGGTTGGAACAGGGTCTCAGAACAGCTCAGGCCCTGTCCCTAGGAGCTAAGAAGAGCCTTTGCGTAGGGCTGCTCACACCATCATTCTGCTCCCTATCAAGCAGCCACTCCCTATCTGAAGTCTCTCTGTGGAGGACCCAAGGCCTCTTCTGGCTCTCTGCAGGGATCTCTTTTATGACCCAGATGCCTGATTTAGCCACGTGACCCATTTGTCACATAGAATCATAGAATATCAGGGTTGGAAGGGGACCTCAGGAGGTCATCTAGTCCAACCCCCTGCTCAAAGCAGGACCAATTCCCAACTAAATCATCCCAGCCAGGGCTTTGTCAAGCCTGACCTTAAAAACCTCTAAGGAAGGAGATTCCACCACCTCCCTAGGTAACCCATTTCAGTGCTTCACCACCCTCCTAGTGAAAAAGTTTTTCCTAATATCCAATCTAAACCTCCCCAACTGCAACTTGAGACCATTACTCCTTGTTCTGTCATCAGGTATCACTGAGAACAGTCTAGATCCATCCTCTTTGGAACCCCCTTTCAGGTAGTTGAAAGCAGCTATCAAATCCCCCCTCATTCTTCTCTTCTGCAGACTAAACAATCCCAGTTCCCTCAGCCTCTCCTCATAAGTCATGTGCTCCAGCCCCCTAATCATTTTTGTTGCCCTCTGTTGGACTCTTTCCAATTTTTCCACATCCTTCTTGTAGTGTGGGGCCCAAAACTGGACACAGTACTCCAGATAAGGCCTCACCAATGTCGAATAGAGGGGAATGATCACGTCCCTCAATCTGCTGGCAGTGCCCCTACTTATACAGCCCAAAATGCCGTTAGCCTTCTTGGCAACAAGGGCACACTGTTGACTCATATCCAGCTTCTCGTCCACTCTAACCCCTAGGTCCTTTTCTGCAGAACTGCTTCCTAGCCATTCGGTCCCTAGTCTGTAACAGTGCACGGGATTCTTCCGTCCTAGGTGCAGGACTCTGCACTTGTCCTTGTTGAACCTCATCAGGTTTCTTTTGGCCCAATCCTCTAATTTGTCTAGGTCCCTCTGTATCCTGTCCCTACCCTCCAGCGTATCTACCACTCCTCCCAGTTTAGTGTCATCTGCAAACTTGCCGAGAGTGCAATCCACGCCATCCTCCAGATCATTAACATTCATTTTCTCAACTTGGGGAGGCAAGCTGTGTGTCATAAATAAGGCTAGGACACATCTCCCTTTAAAAAGAAACTTGCTGCCTGTGAAAGCATGTTTAAGCAAAAATGGTTTGTGGGTTTTTTTGCAGTTTTGTTTTCTGAACAGCTCCTCCTCTTGGCCAAAATTAAAGAGGTTTGATTGGCAACTGGCATGGAAATAGCCCTCACCAAGGAATGCCCTCGAGTACTCCTGTAAAATTGGTTTTCATTTGACTGGGTTAACGAAATTGTAAACTCGTTATGGACATAACAGTGTTTTACTCTGTGGTAATAAAGCACCCAGCAAAACGAGGCCTGATCTTGACTGGGGCTCAATAGAGACTACTCACGTGTGTAAAGTTGCTCAAGTACTTAAGGCTTTGCAGAATTAGAGCCTAAAGAGGCATAATTAAGCACTCACAAGTCAGGAAATGCCATACTTAAAGTTGCACATGACCATAAGTCTGTCTCCTGGGCACATGTATTACAGTGCAGTCTTTAATTATATGATCGCATATGGTTTCTCAAATACAATATCATACTTTTTCTTCTTTCAAGCCTAAAGACATGTGTAGAATCTTGTAATATGGTGTACTATTTCATGTATGTCAGGCAGTCCACAAAAAACATTTATATACAGTAAACTAATACTTATTCAACATACTAAATTATTTATGATACAACAAAGAGTAATGAAAAATTACTGATGTGTAGGCCAAATAGGTCCACACAGTTAAGCATGCCTCATACTTGAGTCATCTTCTGAACTGCACATAAGGAAATCTCTGCCAATAGTTGAAAAGAAAATGAATATTATAGGAATATGTCAACCAATCTTTGGGAACCATATTTTATTTATAGAATGAGTGTATTTAAAAACATACTTAACAACCGGTCCAAATCAAAGGTTAGGAGATCTTTACAAATTAATGTGCTACCCAGAAATATGAACATAATGAATACTGACCGCTAAAATGTGCTCAAAATACACATGCTGGAGAACTTGTAGATAAACAATGTGGAATTTTTAAGGTAAAAAGTGCTTCTTTCAAAAAATAAAAAGTAAGCAACTTACCAAAGTCACACAGCTTCAGAACATCACAGTGGCTTATTAAGAGATTTTCTGGTTTGATATCTGAAATATCAGAGTAAGAGAAAAAAAAAAAGTAAGAGTTCCTAACGTCCATTTTTAATTTTCAACTTATTTAATTGTAAGAGAATTACAGTTATTCAGACAGTGATAACAAAAATAGACCATAGTAGAAAGTACTTGTAATCTGTAGAACTAATTTTCAAACAATCCTGTACTTTTCTAAAGATGTAGAATTCATAGCTTCTGTATTGTGGTTTCTTTTTAAAAATTTCTCAGAAGAAACATGGGAAGAGTAAATCTGCACTTGCACTTAAGCAAGGGCACAAAATCAACTTGTGCATGTGGAAATGTCATTTAATTACCCAGTTTATTAGCAAAATGTAGGATATATAAGCTCAATATTTGTACACTTAAAATTACCTTCTGGGGCTCATTGTGTTTGTCTTCTAGAAATATTTTTGCTCTAGTTTCATAAACGTATTGTTTACTCAGATACATTTTGTATAGTACCTATTGAGTACATGCAACCTGTATACAGTAGTTACATTTTTACAATGTACTTGAGAAAAGCTCTCTCCCCTGTATTTTGTTTAATTTCATTTGTAAGTCATTTTGTTCTCTATTTGTATTCCATTACATATTGAAATCATCCATTGGGGGAAAAAAAAAAAAAACACCTTGTGGAACCACACTGGAAAACACGGCTTTATAAAGTAAGAACATAATAAAATTAGATAAAGTCACACCTTACAGTATGTGTTACACAAATAATAAAGGGTAAAGAGCAAGAGGGGAAAATGTGAGTCTTAATAAACATTTTCATAATTCCTTTTCCTTTGGCAAGGTCTCCATTGTAATTTTGTCTCCTTATGCAAATGGTACAATTTTGTCTCTAATGATACCCAGGAGACAGCAGCCTATTATATTGATGAACAATATTTTAAAGTAGTCTTAAGGATCCCATGCTTTTGGTGGCTTCTAGGGAGAAACTTTAGCAGTCTTGTTTGAAGAGAAGTCTGTCTGCATAGGTAGTTATATGCAGGCGCGGCTCTATGTATTTTGCCGCGCCAAGCACGGCAGTCAGGTCCCGCGCCTTCGGCGTACCAGCCGCCAAATTGCCGCTGAAACCGCGGGACCGGCGGACCTCCTGCAGGCATGCCTCCGAAGGCAGCCTGACTGCGGCTTGCCACCCCAGGCACACGCTTGATGTGCTGGTGCCTGGAGCCACCCCTGGTAATATGGTAGTATCTGAAGTCATTTAAGATGACTTCAGGGCTTAGCTAAATTGAAATAATTTTTCTATACCCACTTAAATATGGTTTGTTTTAACAGAAACTTTTTGTTTAAAGTAAATCCAAACACATTTATGATAATATTTACAAGCTGTAGTGCTTTTCCCTATAAAAAAGAAAATTACTACAAGGGGTTCATTTCCATGTGAAAAGCTATATACACTTACCTCTATGAACAATGTCATTCTTATGACACCAGTGAATCGCTTTGATTAATTGGTAGATATAGCTTTTTACTTTTTCAGGTGGAACTCCATTTGGCATTTCTTCTAGCAATTCAAGCATATTCTAAAATGTTTAAAATATAGATATTAATTGCTAAAAGTAGCTTGACCCATAATATGATTCTAACATACTAAAGTACCATAACTATGCCAGTAAATCTAGCTCCGCAAACCAGCAGTTTAATATCCAAGGGCCATAATCTAGCCATATATAGCCGGCTTTCATTCTAGACAAAAATCTAGTAGTGAATACCATCTTCTGTAAAGGTAAACTAAAAGGCTCTTGTTAAAATATAACTGCTTAAACCCCGAAATAATTAGCAGACTTATAGATTTAAACTGCTAAAAAATATTCAGTATGAGCTCATTTTATTTACAAATAATTGCTTAGAACAGAATTCCCCTGCATGGTGTGACAACATGAACATTTCTCTAAAGCAGAGCATTTTACTAAATACCCTGCAATAGTTTATGCCAGTGCTTCCTAAACTTTTCAGCCAGCTGTACCAGTTTCACATACTAAGGCCTTGTCTACACACAAAATTACACTGCTTTAACTATACCCATATAGCTACCTATTCCCATAGGGAAGGGAAAATAAACTGTAGCAGTATAAGGCACATTTACAGAATTTACATTTACACTGACATAACTGTGTCCACACTAGGGTTACCATATTCAAACATTTAAAAAAGAGGACACTCCACGGGGCCCCGGTCCCGCCCCCGGCCCTGCCCCAACTCCGCCCCTTCCCTGCCCCCGGCCCCGCCCCAACCCCACCCCTTCTCCGCCCCCATTCCAACCCCTTCCCCAAAGTCCCTGCCCCAACTCTGCCCCCTCCTCTGAGCACCCCGCATTCCCCCTTCTCCCTCCCGCTCTGATCTTGGTTGGGGGTTGCTAAGTGCTTCCCTGCTCCCCACTCGCCCCGCAGCCCCTATGCCCTTGCTTGCCTGCCCTGCTCCTCCTCACCCTGCAGCCTCTGCACCCCCCCGCCCCTGCAGCCTCTGTGCCCCCTGCTCCCCACTCGCCCTGCAGCCTCTGCACCCCCCTGCCCTGCAGCCTCTGTGCTCCCTGCTCCCCACTCGCCCTGCAGCCTCTGCACCCCCCCGCCCCTGCAGCCTCTGTGCCCCCTGCTCCCCACTCACCCTGCAGCCTCTGCACCGCCCCCTGCAGCCTCTACACCACCCCCCCGCCGCCGCCACCTGACCTGCTCTCCCCGCTCACCCGCAGAGGGAGAAATGCAGGCTTCACGTGGACTAAACACTTCCGCGCTGCTCTGTGGGGGAGGAGGGAGCGGGGGAGGGGGAGGGACTCTGGCTGCTAGAGGCCCTAGGGGCTGCGAGCGGCTTTCAATCAGGCCAGGCATCTAATCAGCCGCGCCGCACTCCGCAGGAGGGGAAACCCCGGACATTTCTACTTCATTAGAAATCCCTCCCGGACGGCCATTTAAGGCTGAAAAAGCCGGACATGTCCGGGGAAACCCGGACGGATGGTAACCCTAGTCCACACTAAATGGTTGTACCAATTTAACTATTTCAGTAGGGGGGGAAAAAAATCAGACCCCCTAACCAAAATAGTTATATTGGTACAAAACCCTTGTGCAGCTAAGGTCTGAGATTTCAATTATATTGGCAAAGGCCTGCTACCTCCCAATCAACTTTGTGTGCAGAAATGTACAATAGAGATTAGTCTACGCTAAATCCCATTTGAATGGGTGGTAGGCAGCAGCTGCTCTCTAGAGTACAGTTTCATTAAGGTAGGAAGAGGGATATGAAAACATCAGCCTCAAAAGCCTGAAGTACCATTACTTGAACATATACCAATAGTTAATCACTGCTTATGGTGCTTGCAAGGGAAACAGAAAATTCTGATCCCTGTGCTGGAAAATGGAAAAAACATTTTTGGATATTTTGTTTTCCACAAAGTATACAGTTATTGATTTGGGAATTTACACAGATTTTAACATTTAAAAAAGCATTTCACTTCACCTTTGGTGCACATTATCTTCTACTCTACAATCTAGTTTTGAGGTTATTTTTGGAAGCTGTCTTAACGTATGTATACAAAATACAAAGCATACACTAAAATCAAAGTATTTTTTTTAAATGTGGTAGTATTCCAAAGGCACCTGAATGCTTTTCAATCTATTGATAGATTTAGTAATTTAAGATATGGGGTATGGGTTTTGTTAAATCCATATCTACAACATGGACAAATGATTACAGATATGTCTATTAAGACACTCTAATGGATTTAGACAAGAGTACTGTTCACTAGGAGGTACTGTAAAAACCTGGACAAATAGGACAGTAAATTCCTTAGTGTTCTAATCTGAACAAGAATAGCAGTATCAAGTCAGTGAAGCATAATCCTATATGCTTATTGACAACATCAGCTAAGGAGATGATGGAAAAAGAAGACTAGTTAATTTGGATTAGTGTAATCTGGATTTTAGTATTGCAGAGATAATACTCTTTAAAGGACAAAATGTGCTCATCAACCAGCAGAGAGGCTAAACAGAAATTGGCTAACTGTAAAACGTTTTCTTCAATTCTTCTCCCTCTGCCTCACTTAAAATATAAGAATGTCTACACATTTATCATGGCCCTGAAGAATATCTGTAAGGGTCTGTGGAATTCATTTAACACATTCTGAAAGCAAGAATCATTTATAAACTGCTAAGTGTAATTGAAAATAGAGATGATAATTACAACAGCAATGATATCAAGCAAAAATTATACATAGCAGCTACCCTCATGATTATAAAATTTTACGTTAATAAAAAGTAATGTTGGGTCACAAAAATACATTTCCTTCCTAACACAGGAAGAAAATGAATAATAGAAACATGTGAAACCTACTGTATTCTCTTGATATTTATTAATAATTCAAAATATGTGATTATTAAAAGACAGTTGAAATATTCATCTTTTTCTTCTGTACTTTTGGTATAGTAGTTTTAGCAATGTCAGCATTAATAAAAACTATATAAAGTGAATAACTACAAATATAACTAAATATACAGCATTGTCCATATCCATATTTTTATACACACATACGGTTAACTTACAGAAGACTGCACTGATCATAGCGAGCACAGGTTAATTAAAGCAGGAACTTTAGAATCCAGACATTAAGGCTAGAGAGGAACTAATGCAGTAGGAATTAACTGATTGTCAGGTAGTGCATCACAAAACTTATGGACAAAGAACCAGAATATGCAATATAGACTTAGTGTCACCTCACCCTAGATGTTTCAGATCACATCACATGATCATTTTATAATCTCAGATAAGGCAAGCAGGTAATGGTTAGGAGTCTCATGAATACTCATACAGGAAGCACTGCACACCTTGTTAGCTACAAATACGGGCAGGAAGGACTATATATATATATATATATATAGGGGGATTAAACTGAGGAGGACTAGTTCCAAGCTGGTCCACAGCACAGCACCAGAAGGACATAAAAATATGATTTTAGGAAAGAAAGCAAGGGCAGATGAAGGTTCCAGCAAAAATAAGTGGTTTTTTTTTTTTTTCAAATGAAAAGACAGAAACCAGAGTCTAGAATACAGAGCTACAGCCTACTCTTGCCCTATCGGGCTTACAGAAATAGCAGATAACTAGTCTGTCCTGGGCTGTCTCTCCTGAGAAGCAGATCAAGGTGTAATGGGTTCTGATGCAGTCAGGGATAGAAGGAATTTAAGTCAGTCAGCCATAAGGAGATTTTGTGAGGTCCTACAATTTAGTTCATTTCAAATATTTCAAACTGTCTTCCAAAGATTAGATTTCTATGTGGAAAAAAAAAAAAAAAAAATAAAGAGCAACCCTATTTTTAACAACAAGAGGAGAAAGAGAAAGAACCAACAGTTACATGAGGACAAGCAATCTATGTTCCTGTTTCAGAAAACACACTATAGAAGGAATCTTGAGGTAAACACTTGACAATCATTCAACCTTCAAATTAAACTGGTTTATGGACCTTTGGGCAAAAGAATAGACAAACAACCCTTTCTCAAATGACACATATTCCAGTCTAATAATGCTTGTTTGATTTAGTGTCTTCACTGTACTATGTAAATATTATTACTTATGTCATTTGTGTAATTTTCGTAGCAGAAGAAGGGACAAGATATATACATTCTGTTTAGATTTTATTTCATTTCTTGGTTTCCCATTCCTAGATTAAAATAGCTTCATTTTTAGAGTTCAAATCCCTGTATTTATTGTTCATAAATTACTTGATGATTTTGCCCTGAAAGAGATGTAAAAGATCAACTCACTTTTTCCACATATTCAAACACTAAATATAATTTTCCTCTTCTTCTGAAAGCTTCCTTCAGCTCCACTATGTTTTCCTGTTTCAAAGTGCGAAGCATTTTAAGCTCTCGTAAAGTGGTTTCTTTGACTTCTTCATTTTCTAGAATATAAACAATGGTAAGTGTGGTAAAACAAAACTTAGTACTAAGCAACAATAACCTTAGTAATCAAGGTTAACAATCTGTACACTAATGTACAAAATTCAGTGGACACTCACAGTAAAAAGCAATCTAAAAAACTGTAAGCTATTTAAGTGATTTGGGTACTAAATATAACTATATCTGCCAGTCCACATATACAACTATTATAATGGACTTCAAGCACTCTAGTTTTAAACATTCAAAGAATAATCACTGCACACTTCTCTCTCTCTGATACCACTTATGAAGGTTTAGGATTTAACTTGGGCTCCCTCTGCTGCTTGGCTGGCTCTGCATCAGAAGAGGGAAAATATTGTACAATCATGTGTAAACTTGATATCCCCAGGGGCAGCTTTATGTTTTTTGCCGCCCCAAGCACAGCTGTCAGGCGGCTTTCGGCAGCATGCCTGCGGGAGGTCCGCCGGTGCCGGGCCTTCAGCGTCCCTGCCACCGAATTGCCGCCGAAGCCGCGGGACCAGCGGACCTCCCGCAGGCATGCTGCCGAACGCAGCCAGGCTGCCGCCCTCACAGCGACTGGCAGGCCGCCCGCTGCGGCTTGCCGCCCCAGGCATGTGCTTGCTGCGCTGGTGCCTGGAGCCGCCCCTGGATATCCCTCACCCCACCCCAGTGGGGATAAAGGGCTATTTTTGGCCAACAATTTAAGGACAAACCCATACCACTCTGAAAAGTACCATAGATCTCTACCAGCCATGGGGAGGAAAACAGAGCAGAGCATACAGAATTTCTGTTCTAAACATTTCACACAAAAGACTTTCAATATAGTGTTTAATGATACAGATACTCAATTCATCCATCTCAGAAGGCGGAAGGGCTAAAGTTGATGTAGTAAAGAATTGAACCGGTTGTTCTACGGAGTCTAGGATTTCAATCTTAGATGACTTCATTTAGAGTCTAAGCTCTTTAAGACAGGGACTGTCATTTACTATAAGTTAGCACAATGGGGCTTTGACCTGGCTGTCCTCTGGGCAATAATGCAGTATAAATGTTAACTAAAATAATAAATAAATAAAGCAAGCCAGTCAGCCATTGTCTTCCATACTGTTAGGCTTGACAACATTCAGTTTTTTTTCCAGTGGATTATATTGATGTTTGGTTTAAAGCTTTTTTGGTTTTTATTGATTTATATGTATGGTGAAATTTATGTTGATTTGTGACATTTACTGACAAAAAGAAAGAAAAAGAAAGAAAGAAAGAAAGAAAGAAAGAAAGAAAAAGAAAAAGATAATCATGCGTTCTATAAGTCACTCAATGGGGAGGAGGGATAGCTCAGTGGTTTGAGCACTGGCCTGCTAAACCCAGGGTTGTGAATTCAATCCTTGAAGGGGCCATTTAGGGATCTGGGGCAAAAATCTGTCTGGGGATTGGTCCTGCTTTGAGCAGGGGGTTGGACTAGATTGACCTCCGGAGGTCCCTTCCAACCCGGACAGTCTATGATTCTAGTTCCTGAAATCTGGGCAGAATAAGCATCCCGTGGAGAGCTCAGAGACGGTTGTTTTCTACAACAGGGTTCTCTCTTCAACAGCCAGCTCCAGTTCTGAAAAACTATTCCGAAATATTGTGATTTGTTTGATAGGGATAATCACAATTCATTTCAGCCAGTATTTTCTGCTTCAGGTATAAAACAGGACGTGTGTATGACAAAGCTAAAAGATTTGCTGAATACATTATCCAGGCATCTTGGTGTTGGTCAGAGTTTGCACTGGATGAAGTGACAGAGGTAAATTTAACTTCCCTGATACATCCGTGACAACCAATTGCATCTTCATTGGCCACATCCCATGGCAAACTGCATAGATGAAATATTTACCAAAATCTAATGGGTGGCATTTTTGAGCTTTATAATGAAGGTTATAATGAGCCATTAAGCCAACACAACATAAGTGGTCAGACATAGCTGCAACATCCCAGGAAGGAATTATGCCTCTTTGGGTAAAAATTTCTCAACTGCTACCCCTTTGATCTACAGTGAGGAAGAAAGTCACTTCACACTTGGCTTATTCCTCTGCTTGTGCCTGGCCAGCTCTGACGGTCAGTGCATGGACAGTAGGGGGTGGAGCCTTTGCTCTGTTCATTTCCTTATCCTGTACACACCCCAGTCCCTACTCTTGCCACTCTGCCTGGTGCCATAATCCAGGAAATGCTAATATGGCTGCACAGGAGAGGAAGGTGGGGATGGGGAGGTGGAGTTTATTCCTTTGTGTGGCTACCTAGTTCAAGGGCACAGTCTAGCCTTCACACAGGAGCTAATGTATCAAAGCACAGGACACTAGTACAGCTAACACACCATCACTGAGGCTGTCATTTTTAAGTCATCTCTCATATGTGAGGTCTTGTATTTTCATCAAGTATCCGTAACATGTTTATTTACACAAACGATCACAGAGGAAGCAATTACCTTCACTGTCTTTGAATTTCTTGATGGCCACAATTTCATGTGTCTCCTATAAAACAAAAAACAAAACAGGAGATGAGAAAGGCAAGATTTTTATCTGAGCACTTGGATCAAACAAAATATCCAGATTAAATACAGTGTTTTCATTTTACATTTGCAAAAGGCACACAAAAGCAAAAAAGAGTGAATACAGAATCTAGTAAAAATCTAAATGATTAGGCCAACTGCAATATACAAGCATGTTCAGCAAATATGCAATGATTAGACACCGAAACATGAAACTCTTAAGTTAGACACCAAAAATATGCATATTCAGATACATAAAATGAATGGCCTTGTTTTCAAAGGAGTGAGCCCCTGCAGCTCCCATTGCTCCGCTGCTCTGAAAGTCAGGCCACTTATTTAGGTCATCAAAATATGGATTTTGGTACCTATATTTGTGCATCAAAATTTAAAAATATTAGCTGATGGCCAAGTTTTGCAAGACTGATTAGTGCTTTTGGGTCCCCAACTTGAAACACCTGGAAGGTGAGAGAGGTTTTTGGTACCTCCAGTTTGTGAGAGAGTTAAGGTACCTCAAGTTGGGCAGCCAAAACTAATCACCCCAAATCACTAGTCACTTTTGAAAATGTTGGCCTGTGTGCTTACCTCAGAACTACAGGTAACACAGCTTGAAAGAGCCTCTTGAGTAATCTAGTCCTGCCTCTGCACCCAGGAAGGATTCTCATCTAAACTGATCATCACCACATTGTATCCATTTTACTCCTGAGCATCTCTAGTTTATTTCTACTAGAGCATCCCATACCCTCCAAAACAAACATACAGCCTATTCACATAGGGCACATATGAATATAAAAGAAAGATTTACTTGCTGTCTCATGTATTTGTCTGTATAGGATGCTGCAACATGCTACAAGAAAGTCCCTATGCTACCAAATGTAGGAGGTACATCTCTTTTTAAAATGCCAATATTTTAGAGAAGTAACAGCACTTCACATAATCCTGAGGTCTGTCAGCGTAGAGAGGCTGAATTAGGGGCCAGCAGCAAAACAGTTAAATCATTTTGGAACTTGTTCATACTTGTTATATCTACAAATGTGAAAACACACGAACAACTAATTATTAAAGCAGAATGTAGGAGCATCTGCTCTCTGTCCTTCAATGTCACCAAATGTCCACAATATGTGATCCTGAATGAAAACTTTATCCGTCTATAAAAGCATGTTGGAAGACTACCATTTATTTCAGTGGGAATTGACTCAGGTCCTTTGAGATCCTTATGAAAGTCATTAATATTAGCAATAGCCAATAAAAAAGGCGTGGCATATTTATTTTAGAGCTGTTAGAGTGGAAACATTAAAATACTCAGCCAGCTGTTCAGGGCACTCTGCCTTTATGCTTGTTCGAAGCATAGGGTTGCCAACTTTCTAACGGCAGAAAACTGAACACCTTTGCCCCACCCCTGCCCCGCCCCTTCTCCGAGGCCCTACCCCTGCTCACTCCATCCCCTCTCCCTCCATTGCTCGCTCTCCCCCACCCTCACTCACTTGCTCATTTTCACTGGGCTGGGGCAGGGGGGTGGCATGCGGGAGGGGTGAGGGCTCCAGCTGGGGGTAAGAGCTTGAGGGTGTGGCCAGAAATGAGGGGTTCAAGGTGCAGGAAGAGTTCCGTGCTGGGGTGGGGATTGGGGTGCAAGAGGGAGTGAGGGCTCCGGCTGGAGGTGTGGGCTCTGTGGTGCAGCGGGGGGGGCCCTCTGGGCTGGGGCAGGGAATTGGGGTGCACGAGGGGGCTCCGGGCTGAGGCAGTGGAGGGAGAGTTGGGTGTGGGATCTGAAAAGGAGTTTGAGTGCAGAAGGGGGCTCAAGACTGGCGTGTGGGAGGGGGTCAGAAGTGCAGGCTGTGGGCAGTGCTTACCTCAAGCGGCTCCTGGGAAGCGGCGACATGTCCGTCCAGCTCCTAGGCAGAAGGCTGGCCAGGGGGGCTCTGCTGTGCACTTCCCCCGCCCGCAGATGCCACCTCTACAGCTCCCGTTGGCCACGGTTCCCAGCCACTGGGAGCTGTGGAGCCAGCGCTCAGGATGGGGACAGCGCGCAGAGCTCCTGTGGTCGGCCCTCCACCGAGGAGTCGGAGGGACATGTCGCCGCTTCCCGGGAGCTGCATGGAGCCGGGCAGAGAGCCTGCCAACCCCATTGCCCTGCCAACTGGAATTTTAACGGCCAGGTCAGCAGTGCTGACCGGAGCCGCCAGGATTCCTTTTCAACTGGGTGTTGTGGCAACCCTATGAAGCACCAGGCATGTTGTTCATGCTATGTGAAAACAAAATAAGTAATCATGTGACAATAAATTAATTCTGTGATCATCATACATGATATTTATACCAGATCTGGCAAGTGTTATGTTGTGCATTGATCTCAATGACCGACTACGGCCTCTAAATGACCTCACTGAGGAAAGTTAATTTAACAAAAGCAACTCATGTGGAAGTCATTTTTGCTGTTAGTTCCTGATCATCTCTCACAGTACATTGTCCTGCCAAAACCCATCCTAAATATACTGGCCTAATTTGAAAGCTCATGTGTTACGTAAATCCAGCTGAAATAAGACAACTGATCAAGAAAAAGCTCTGCTCACCAATTACAGAAAAAAGGGATGACAAGGCTGAGGACAGAATATTGAATTGTAGTTAGAACTGCATTCTGAGAAGTTTGTATCCCTCACTTCAAATACAGCAGCACACATACATGTGATTATAAATTAATTAATTTAGTCTAACCTAAATTGAGCAAATTGTTCTTACTGGTTGTATCACCACCAATGAGTGACCTCAGTGTCAAAACTCAAATACGTCCGTCCACCTTATAGAGCCATCTTTATGCAAAACCAAAGTTATTCATGGAGACTGCTCTGCTGACTGTTAATGTTAATGCTTCGCCCTGTCTCAGCAGAAAGGGGGGAAACTTGGTTTGGCAAACAAAGGAATGGACCAGCTTCTGGGAGGGGGAAGAGCTCATGCGCATACATACTGTGGCCAAGCTCTTTCTTTTCTTGTGCCTCCATGTGCACGTGGATGTTTGTCTTAAGGAGGGACTCCTCTGCCTCCTACTGGCCTGGCCAGGTGTGTGTGTGTGTGTGTGTGGGGGGGGGGGGGCAATTATTGGAGCCAGCTAGTACTCACGGTTCTCTCTGAATGTAAAGCAATCCCGCTCCTAGGAGCTATCTTGTTGCTACTGCTGCCCTCCCACCCCCTATACTTGAGGCATACTGAGCTGTGGTTTTAGGATGGTGCAAGTCTGACTAATTGCCTGTTTTGGGGATCAGAAAATAATTTTTTCCAGTTGCTGCAAATAAACAGGTGTCTGGAGGGATTTTTGGCTTCCTTGCAGCATTGTGCAGTCACAGTTTAAGTTAGAAGGAGTAAGAACAGGAATTTTAATGTGAGGACGTAATATAGGAATGTTTAGTTCATTACAATTTGCAGCCAGTGTTGAGTGCAGATAAAGGCTAAAAGGGCCAGCGAGACTTTGGACATGGCTGGGGGTTCTTCTACCTGTAAATAGGGCTGCCAAACCTCCAGGATTGTCCTGGAGTCTCCAGGAATTAAAGTTTGACAATCTTTAATTGAAGATCATTTGATGAAACCTCCAGGAATACGTCCAACTAAAACTGGCAACCCTACCTGTAAGGAGAAGGGGAGATCTGAAGTCTTCACTGAGAGGCAAGGGAGAAAACTGAAAAGCGAGCTGAGTCCTAGATTATGTTTAAGAAGGTCCTCCACTAAGTATTGATTACATGGTTTGAGCCCGTTAATCCCACACTGACCGTAATTAAATGTCTGGTACATCAGAGGGGGCAAACCGATAACAATGGGAAGGGAGGCTAAGTTAATACAGTTGTGGCCTGCTGCTTAAATCCACCTCTGTGCCTGCATGTCCTCTTCAATGGTGGGGAGTAAGGCTGAGGATTGCATCTGCCGAGTTCTGCACGTGGTGCATGCCTGGAATCTATGATCAAAAATCATTTTTCTGATCATTGGTGCAGGATCCCTATTAGAGGAGTAAAGTTCTGGAACAGCCCTCCAATGGGAGTGGGGCGGGGCAAAAAACCTAACTGGCTTCAAGACTGAGCTTGAAAAGATTATGGAGTGGCTGGTATGACAGGACAGCCTACAATGGCATGTGGCCCATCAGTGACTGCCAGTGGCAAAAATCCCCAACAGCTGGAGATTGGACACTAGATGGGGAGGGCTCTGAGAATTCTTTCCCAAATATCTGCCTGGTGGGTCTTGCCCAAATGCTTAGGATCTAACAGATTGCCATATTTGGGGTTGGGAAGGAATTTTTCCCCAGAGTCAGATTGAAGTCTTTAAACCATGATTTGAGGACTTCAGTAACTCAGCCAGAATTTAGGGGTCTATTACAGGAGTGGGTGGGTGAGGTTCTGTGGCCTGCAAGGTGCAAGAGGTCAGACTAGATGATCACAATGGTCCCTTCTAACCTTAAAGTCTATGAATCTAGATCAATTTCCTAGTATCAAAGCATTTGTATGTTTCTACCCAAGCAAATCATGAAAGATTACAACTGAAAGCACAGGTGTCACCTCATTTCTTATTCACTGTTAATTATGTAAAATTTCAATTGTGCAGGAAACCTTAAATTTAATTTGTTTCCTTCAGTTGGTTCCTTAAAAAGTCCCTAATGTCAATGGTGCAACTAATCAAGGAGTACAGTTTTACTCAACATAAGCAAGGGTGGCAGAACCTGTGGCCATTTCTTGTCTGGTTAGAGAAACATGTCCTACCACCTTAACTTCTCTTTCTCGGACATGTCACACCAGCCAAGCTGAGCCTCATGTCAGGATTGGCAGAAAAGTCCTAGATTAAGAAAGAATCAATATGAACATGCTTTAATGGAGTAAAACAAGTTTCTCTTTATGTATCAAGGACCCATCTGTCAGCTCTGACCTCAGGCACAGAGCAGGAAACAAGTCCTTAAAAAATATAGCTAAGATGATGTATTTCAGAAAACAAATTTATTTTGCTATAATGCTAGTA